CCACTTTTCTTCAAAATAAGTTTTTTTCTACCCGACACATTGCCTTCCTTAATTAGTAAAAACGAGTAAATTTTTTATTTTCTTACCCAATTTTTGTTCCAATTCCCATGGGAGAATTTCTCGGAGGGATTATACTCTCATTTTTTTTATTGTCTGCCATGTATTTGATAAAAAAAATTTGATAGTGCAGAATATGATAGCACTGACATGGGTCAATTAATTAACATTAAGATTTAATTTTAAAATAAGTATGTAATAAAATTAAATCTTAATGTTAATAAAGGAGTATGATATTTTCGTATATGAATTTTTCTATATTTCGTTCCTGACTTGATTTTTTTCACGAAGATTCATCTAGCAATTAAAAATTTTGTTAAACAAAATAATATTAATTAAATAGTTAAAAAAATTAGGAAAATTTTAAATAAAATGATATACTCCAATGGAGACGGCAGATTTTTTGTTTTCTTTTCTTATTTATAAAGAAACGTGATCTTGATGGAAGTACTTTGAAAAAAAAAACAAAACAATTTTGTCTGAGAGAACAAAGAAGCGACAGTGTAAAGAACCAATGAAAATCTCAAATTTTTTTGTAATTTTTTAAACAGAAAAATTATTTTATAAAAATGCATTAATGGAAGATCTCAAAATAAAAATGCAGAAAACTATTTCTAATTCTCCAACTCCAGTTCTTAAGTTAAGTTTTATATTTATGAAACCCAACTTTAAAACATGTTGCTACATTTTAATATAATAATTATTTATGAGTTCTTTTTTTTTTTAATTTAAGAGTTTGAATTTGGAGAGTTTTTAATTGGTGGGATGAAAACGTATTTTAAAGAGGGGTTTTTTTCTAATATTGTTGTAAATAAAACTTATTTTAAAAATATAGTTGTTTAATTAAAATATTAAATATGTGGTAGGTTTTGAAACTTTTTTTAAAAATATTGTAGTTGAAGAAAATTGAAGGCTGGTCGTCTCTTCAAGAGATGATCATCACAGAGACGACCAGCTAGACGTAGCGYCACGTGGGCGCCACGTCAATTTTTTTAAAAATTTTAATGTAGTCGTCAACTTTGTTTTTTTTTTTTTTTTATATTAACCATTTAAAATTTTCTTTTTTATAATATTAGTTATATGTTTTTTTATTTAAAGTTATATGTTTTTTTTATAACATTATAATTTATTATTATTATTATTATTATTTATTAATTTATCAAAAATTATTAATTTATATTTTATTTTTTCTTATAAAATCACGAAGTTATCTACGGTAGTTCAAAATTCGAAAGTAATATTATAAATTAGAGAACAATGTTTGAAGCTTGTCAATTTACAGTCAATCGATCTAATCCGTCCCACAATGGGGACGTTGCCAGTTACGATGTGGCTAACGACGAACTATTGGTGACGCTGGTGTCTCCTGACCCTCTGTAGGGTCTCGATCCTCTGTAGGGTTGAAGTATTGTCCATGCTCTCCATGTCCACGCCCAGGGCTCCCTCTAGATGGTGTGTGATACTGACTAGAACCAGGAGTCGGTATCATGACCATAGGCGTGGACAGACCAGCATCATCCTGTGTCTGTGTAAACGGTGGAATGTCCTCAACCCTATGATAGATAACTTCAGGTACGGGATCGTCAAGCCCTACTGGAGCATATTGGTCTACTTGACGTCGTCCTCTACGCCTAGGGCCACGAGCAGGAGTAGGTACTTTGTACATTTGATGAAGGCTCTGAAGATGCCTCCCGCCAACGTTGCACAACGTATTAATTTCGTCTGATGACGAGAGAATACTGATTTGCTCGAAACACGAAGCCTACATGGAAAGAAATTAATAAATATGTATTTATTAATTTGAAGAATTGTTACGTTTGCCACTTGTTGCATGTACATGAACGTTCTTCGGCAGTAATTCTCAATATTTGTGTGTTCCCTTCTTTCGAATTGTAATAATGAAACCCTATTTGCACATGAAACACACCAACGACTCGATCATAACTGACTACAGTGTGTTTGGTGGATCTCGCCGCACATCTAACAAGCTTATCGTAAGCATACCTGTTAAGCTTGATAATGTAAGTTAACAATATTGACATAATGCAAGGACATTAAACAACCGATGGGGTATTTTTCGTTTCTACTTAAAGCATCTCTTGTCTCTTCCCTCCGCTTCTCGAAATATTTTACGCTTCGGTAGAATGTAAGTTCTACCAACGCAGTGATGGATAACATCCGAGCTCCTTTCAGCACCTCATTAATGAATTCGGAAAGATTGGTTGTCGCCCACCCATATCTAAATTCACCATCATGTGATAGGGTCCAATTCTCAATCCCAATGTTGCAGAAGAAATTCATACAAGAGCTATTTAGTAATTTAATATTTTCCACCTCCTTGTTATACTTTCAAATTTGGAATTGAGCACCGACACGATATACCAAATCTTTTAATTCGGTACACTTGTATTTATGGTTAAAGTTGCTAGAAACATGTCGTAGATAGAATCTGTGATGTGATTTAGGTCCGGTCCAACCATTATCTGGATTATTAACCGCAGAGATAATACCACCATGTCGATATGAAATTAAACATATCTCTTCATGCGTAACAACTTTTCTTAGTTTTTTTAAAAACCATCCCCAGGTCTGACGACTTTCTTCGTCTACAATGGCAAAAGCAAGAGGTAACAAATGTCCATTTGAATCGATTGATGTTGCAATCAATAGCTTACCCTTATACTTTCCGTAAAGGTGAGTACCATCTATTTGAAGCTCGGGCCGAAACTTTTGAAAGGCTGCAATGCAAGAACCGAATGACCAAAATACAGAATGAAGAATGTCATGACCCGGTTGTCCGTAGTTCCTAATTTCCATTCAACAATTGTTCCTGGATTAGTATGTTTCAGCATGTACATCCACTTTGACAAAAGTTTATATGACTCATCCTAGTCACCAAAAATACGAGCCAAAGCTTTTGTTTTTCCTTCCCATACTCTCCCATAAGGAACATGATATCCAAATTTTTCCTTGATAAGATCTTGGAGTGTCGCAATACTTGTAGAAGGATTAGCTCTCACTGCATCACAAAATTCTCTACTTATCATATTTGAGTCCAATTGACAATACTTTGATTAAATTTTTAATAAGAATGTTGGTCCATGTACTTTGTAATCTCCCATAGGTTAATACTTTTCTTAAGAATCGCACGAAGTCGCCAGTTGCATCCATCTTGCCACTTCTTACATATAACTGCCCATATAGATGGTGTCGACTCTACAACTTCGTAAGGGTGGTGACTCTTTACAGCAAAACGTTTGACGATATGTTGCATAGTTTTTTTTATCATTACACATGAACCCCTTGTACAACATATCATTTTCAACTGTCATTGGTCGCAACATAGACTCGTGTTCTGCAATAATGTTAACACTGTCCATGTCATTAAATATTTGAGAAGGGATCTCATGTTCACTCTCGAGTTCCAATTCATCAAACTCATCATCTGTCGCTGTCCTGAGTTCTATAGACCTATTATCAGCAGTTAAGTCTGTATCTTCGTCTAAATTAGAAGTTAGAGGTACAACTAACTCAGGTTCGGGATCAAGACATTGACTATGGTCAAGACATTGGCTGGGTCCCTCGAGGTCCACTGATTCAAAAGGGATATCATGTTCACCATCGATGTCCAATTGGACATTCGTCATATTTCTAACATCACATATAATTCCACTAATTGTGGACATGGCGGTGCAATAGAGAACATTAAATCCAATGCATTCTGGTTCTCTAATGGAATAGAAATGTATTTAATGGAACCCGATGGTGTTTGATTAAGGTGTCTATAAATAAGTTCTAATTTACTCCTCCCCATATCTAACTTCAGTTACACTCCAACCATTTGAACAAAATGTCCAAACTCAATACCACTGTACACAGTAAAACCTCCACTTGACAGTCCATTGTAATCAATTTCATTTACACCATCAACAGTACCTCCATTCATATACAGTACAATCGCCAAACATTTAGCTGCCATTTCAATCCTAAATTGGAAAATGATATTTTTAATTAAGTTCCTAATTAAATTTTAACTACACCAATCAAATAAATAACCTAAATTTAATTGTAATAAAAAGGGTATAATTTTATAATTACACACATGTATTAAATAAAAAAGCAAATCAATACATATAAACTAATTAAACATATAAAAAAGATAGTAATTAAGAATTATAATACAGAAATATGCATAATCTTATAATTATAAATACCTACGATTATTTAATAAAATAAATAAATTACATAAATATATACTATTTAAACAAATAAATAATATATTAATTAACAACTAAATCTAACTACACTAATCATTGCATAAATAAATAATAAATATATGATTTTATAATTGCATAAATTCATCCAAGAAAGAA